TGATTAGGGCATGACTGACTCTAAGGATGTATGGTCCTTGACTTACAATAGTTCATTTAATGACAGTTTGAAGTTATGTGACACTGAAAAAAGTGACTTATGCCCGTTTTTCACACTTATGACCATTTCAGCATCCCCACGGTCACCTGATCAAAATTCAGACACATGGCAACTGATTCATATTTATGACTGTTACGGTGTCCTGGGGTCACGTGATCAGCTTTTGCAACCTTCTGACAAATAAAGCCAATGGGAAAGCCAGATTCACTTAACAACTGTGTTACTAACTTAACAACTGCAGTGATTCACTTAACCACTTTGGCCAGAAAGGTCCTAAATGGGGCAAATTTCACTTAACAACTATCTCATTTAACAATAGAAATGTTGGGCTCAATTGCGGTTGCACATTGTGTATGTATGTGTGTATATGTGTGTATATGAGAGTTAATTTTATAGAAACTTGAGGAGATGTGCTTAGGAAACTGCACAGGTTGGGGGTAATCAGCTCTTGAATTTAGGATCAACTTCTAAGTTACAGCAGAGACTATATAAACTAAACTGACCTTATAATCACAGCTTTGATTAGTAAATTCCCATTAGAATTCACTGAAGTCCTGCTTTCCATTATTGTTCTGTAACACAATACCCCACCCATTTTGAGAATGATAATTAAGCATTTTTTCATACAATTTTTCATCAAAGATGGAATTTCCCACCCAAGGTAAGTTGTAACATTACGATACATATGTGGATATAGAAATGGCATAGTTGTGTCTGATCTTGATGGGCTTTCATATGGTTCTAATTTTCACATTCTAAATACCATAAAGTATTACCACAAGAAAACAGTCCTTAGGTAATAAGGTTTATTAGTGAATTAGGTTTGTGTTTTTGTCACTGCAACAGGATTTGGAAGAAATTTATAGATTTTGGTTTGTTGCAATCCAGGGAACTGTGATATTAAGGGATGGTTACAGTGAGATTTTTTTAAATACAATTGTTTACCCAGATATTCTACTTACCAAACAGTAAAATATTAAGTCTGGACCCACTGATTACATAGTGGGAATAGGATTTATAGCTACTTTTTAAAAAGCCACAGCCTTACAAAATGGCTGCTGCTGGTTCTTTATAAAACAATATTAATCTTTCTCCATATGGTTGTATCTTGGAATATGTATGATTGCATAAAGAAAATATGCACCCTTTATTTTTTGTAAAGTTGATTTTGTTCCCTTAGGAGGATTTCATTTTATTACCCCACTTCTAAGAGCAGCTTTCCGCACCACAATTTGCATTTTAAACCTAGGGGAGCCATAAAAGCATTTTGCAAAACAACACATAAAAGCTGCTATTGCCTGTGCATCATTGTATGTATGGGATGGCAATTTAAAGCCAATTTTGGTTCATGCAAACCTTTTTGCTTGGCTAAAAGGACTCTCTGTATCACAGTCTCAACCCCACTTACTGTATATGAAAGGAGCAATATAGCCAGTCCATTTTGGACAGCACATGCAGTTATTACTGAATTGTAAAGCTTGTAGTCTTGCATATATTGTTGGAAAACAGAAGTGTGTAAATAATGGCCATGGAAAAAACACTAGGCAGAGTCTATTTTTTAAAAGATTATTTTATTCTGATGTATAGATTAGTAGAAACAGTAACTTTCACTGCATGCTTCTAGATTTTCATTAAAGTTTTAAAAAGCTTTCTTACTTAATGCATATTGGTCTATATAACACTAGCTAGGAGGTAAATGCCCAATAACCTTTTTTACCTATGTTACAAATATCATGGGCCTATCTATGCCTCTTTGCCCAGAAATAAGTCCTACAGAATTCATTGGGACTTAACACAGGCAAGTATTTGTACTATTACTTTAATACAAGGGACTTAACACAGGCATATATATGTACTATTACTTTAGTACTTTTTAAAGCTGAGATGAATGACATAAAACCTTTCATATATATATATTAACTGGGTATAACCAAGGATGAAGAATTCTGGGAATTATCATATACATACATACATATGTATGTATATGTATATATATATATGTCCTTGATAGCTGCAAAAATGCGAATCCCGGGCATATTTGTTCAATAACACGGCCTTCGATCTCCGGGAGAGGTATAAACCAGTTGTTTATTGCTAAAAAGATATTAAAAAACAATAAAAACAACTATTTACAATGTTAAAAGAAACAACTTAGCTTTCACTGGTCCCCTGCCAGCATCCTCAGAGTGAAGCTTAGGGGGTGGGGAGATTCTTTTTATACACCTTGCTGGCCTAACTGCTTACTCATTGCCCGTGTGACAGGGCCATCCTTCCTGGTTAACTGTAATTGCCTTGGTTGTCCCGCCCTCTCTTTTTTGCACTCCAATTCCACACCTTTCCCCCCTCCCATCCTTGTCAATCTCCTCCCTCCCAGCACCATTGCTGCCGGTGTGCTCTCTAACGCTCCCTCCTGCTCATTCCAGGCTGCGCATTCAGATCCAGTGTTCCAAAAGGCTTGCCATCAGCGCTCCCTTCCTTTCTAGCCCGTTGGTCTACATGCTGTTCCTGCCTTCCGTCATCCATTCCTGTCAGTCTTTTTTTCTCCGATTTCCCTCCACCCCCGGGTGTGCGCACGCTCCATCGTGCCTCATCCTTCTGCTCCGTCTGCCCACGAACGGTGGGGATGCCTATCGGCTTGCTCTTAGGTTCGGCCCCTCTCGTCCTTGTTAGCCTTGTCTCCCCCAATTTCCTTTCACACCTGGCTTTGCGTGCGCACGATCGTGTCCCGTCTCTCTGCCCTGTCTGCCTACGATCAGATGGACTATCCGCCGGCTCCTCTTTGAGTCCAACCTCCCCCCCTTTTTCACCCCTTTCCCCCTCCTTCCCCCTCTTGGCTTATCCTATCTTTTTTTGGTATCCCTGTCCTATGTATTTGGGATCGTACGGCCAGGTCCGGCATTCCTAATGCCCCCTCATTGTCACCTCCCCCCTGCTGACACTGATCCGAACGCACCTCCAGATTTCCACGTTCCGTCCTTGCCAACCCTGTTGCTTCCAATTACCCCTGATGTATCCTACCACCCCACCCCGTCTGTCCGTGGTCAGCTGGACTACTTGCTAATCCACTCCCAGATTCATCCCTTCTCCTCCTTGTTGCCCCTATCCTTCCTGATGTTGCCGTCGGCGGTGTGCCCCTCACTCGCCCTCCCTCTCCCTCAATTGTCACCCTAGACCGCGCGCCCAGATCCAGCAACATCGACCATTCCCCATGCTCACTTCCTCCCTCCTTTTCACCCCATCCATCCATCCATCCATCCATCCATCCATCCATCTGTGGTTCCAATATTTCACCATCCATCCCTATCGTCCCTATTCCCTCCAAATCCTTTCTTTGCAAAGCGTGGAAAGCTGGAGGTGCGTTCGGATCAGTGTCAGCAGGGGGGAGGTGTGGAATTGGAGTGCAAAAAAGAGAAGGCGGGACAACCAAGGCAATTACGGTTAGCCAGGAAGGATAGCCTTATCACACCGGGAATGAGTAAGCAGTTAGGCCAGCAAAGTGTATAAAAAGAATCTCCCCACCCCCTAAGCTTTACTCTGAGGACGCTGGCAGGGGACCAGTGAAAGCTAAGTTGTTTCTTTTAACATTGTAAATAGTTGTTTTTATTGTTTTTAAATATCTTTTTAGCAATAAACAACTGGTTTATACCTCTCCCGGAGATCGAAGGCTGTGTTATTGAACAAATATGCCAGGGATTCGCATTTTTGCAGCTATCAAGGACATATATATATATATATATATATATATATATATATATATATATATATATATATATATATATATATATATATATATATATATATAGAGAGAGAGAGAGAGAGAGAGAGAGAGAGAGAGAGAGAGAGAGAGACATACATATATAAGAGGGAGAGAGAGAGAGAGAGAGAAGTTTTATGTCATTTATATCAGTTTTAAAAAGTACTAGTACCAATAGCAGTAGCAGTAACTACCATTATAATAAGATTATTATTATTTGATTAATGTCTTAATTTTGTTTTCATACAAATCAGAAGTACTGTAGGCATCTATGTGTTCCAGATGTTTTGAACTATAATGCCTACAAATGCTGCATCTTTTCCCCTAATTCCATGATTATCCTCTGCAGCTGCTGCACAATCCTGGGAAATCTTATATTTGATTTAAGGAGTTCTAGAAATATGCTGTTTATGGCCCCTCAGGCTCCAAATCATCTTTTTGCTTTCAAATCTGCACATATATAATATATATAAAAAGGTCTGAAAATATTTATTTAAAAAGTTTTTTTCTTAGCACCGCACTTGCCTTGTTCTTTACCACGAAACTTTGTTAAACAACTGGCTTATTGCAAAGACTGAAACTAATTGGGCTTCAGAAGAAGTAACTAGCCCAAAGTCAATCCTCTGTCTTCTGTTCCTAACAAATTTATATTTTCACTTCTTTTTTTAAAAAAATGACAGAATGAGAATGAGAAGAGGAAAAGGAGGAGGAGGAGGAGGAGGA